TATTTTAGATGGTTCTTAGTTGGCACTTACTCAACTGATGGTAATAAGAAACGGAAGCCGTTTTGTAGTTAGAGGTGACCCTGTTTGATTATTCAATGTTGAATTACTTTAAGTGTTTACAGCCTTTACAGAAGACTTTTGTCACTTTCACTGTAACACTGATTTTTAAACCTCTGTACAAAGAGCAAAGTTGCCTTTGTTGAAAAACAAAATAAAGGGCAAGTTTCAAAGAGCATTTTTATTACAATTTTAAATTATCAGAATTGGAGTGATGGAAACTTAATGAAGTACAAGTAAACTATATAGAAGGGCACCAGAGGTGCACGAGAGGTTCTTTTGTAAAAAAAGAAAAAAAAGGGGGGAAAAAAGTCAAAAGAAAAAAGAATGAAGTACACTTTAGAGAATAAGAGAAAGGAAAGAGGATGGGATAGCACGTGTGGTATGACCTTGGCAAGCAGGCTGTCTAGCAATGGGTACACACTGCGAACACACTACGTCTGGGTTGGGGTGACATTGGAAGACATCAAGGTCATGTACTGGAAAATACATTTTATTGTGCCCTCTCTTGTTTTGGTATTTCTTTAATCCACAAATTCAAATATTTGTTGTGCATTCTTGTTACTAAAGAAGTGATTTTCATTTGGAAATAATGGAGGCAAGTTGGGTGTAGGTGTGAGATAGGTGAAGGTGTGATGTGGTTGACTTTTGCAAGGTGTTTTAGCGTGTGTAAAAAGAGTGTGACTCTGTGGTCAAGGCATGTGCTGATGGACCTGTGTGTGTGTGTGTGTGTGTGTGTGTGTGTGTGTGTGTGTGTGTGTGTGTGTGTGTGTGTGTGTGTGTGTGTGTGTGTGTGTGTGTATGAGTTTGTGGATAGTATGTATGTCTAAGTGTGGATTTTTTAATCTGAATGTAGTGCAGTTGTATAACTGCATTTTATTCATTTGTTTGATTGTTTATTTATTTCAATTATTATTTTTATATGGACATAGGGAATGAGTGCATTGCATGTGTGTGTGTGAGAGAGAGAGAGAGAGAGAGAGTAAAGATTTGCTGACTTCAGAGAGAATCACCATGTTAATGTGTGATAGTAGTCACTGTGTGTAAGATGGGTGAATGAAAGCTTATATGTCATTTTTAGCACAGGCTCAGGCTTAATGTCTCTCTGCACGTTATCTCTATATACCACAAATATACAAACTTGGTCCAGGGACAAATTATCTAATGTCAACTGACCACTACACATGGTGTGCAGATATTCACAATTTTACAGTATCAAAAGTAGAAATGGGAGGGAAATCTTGATAGATTTTCATGGGGCTCCCAATGGTTGAAACCGATGTGTGACAGCAGTGGTTTCAGTGTTGAGGGTAGTTGTCATAGGTTGTCTTGAAACTGAATTTTAAAAAAGAGTACACATTGTCATAGGATTAGGCTTGTGGTTCTGTCCCAGATTTGGGAACTCTGGTGGTTAAAGCTAGGGTGAGATAGGAGAGATGATGGTTGAAACTGACCAGACACCTGTCTAGTATAGATATGGCCACAGATTTAATGTTCTGGTATGACTGCATGGACCCAGGGGATAACACCTCCCCCCCCACCCCCCCACCCTCTCTTTCCTTTTCAACTCCCCTTCCTCTCCTCTCTCTCTCTCTCTCTCTCTCTCT